CTCCCTACTTCCTCCCTTCTCTGCAGCGTCCATCCCCATCCAACGCATTTTGTGTTTTTTAAATTTATTTGCCCGGTTTCCTGTGGTCTCCCCTACTAGGGCTCCAGCACCAGAAGCTGGGGTCTGCTGCTCACCGCTGGAACCCACGCTGCCTAAAATATTCTCAGGGCCCAGCACACACAAGGCGCTCAGAACACCTAGTGTCTAAAGCACACAGAAGGCTCGACTTAGACTCAGACTCAGATGCAGTTATCGCCCATACAACCGTCCCCTGGGCCTCCTGAGTGCCAGGCATGGGCTTGGCGCTCAGCTATGGCCTTGGTGTTATTTTTTTAAATTTTTATTTAGTTATTGAGACAGGGTTTCTCTAAATTGACTGTGCTGGGCTCCACCCTGAGATCCTTCTGCCTCAGCCTCCTGAGTAGCTGTGATTACAGGTGTGTGCTGCCATGTCTGGCATCTGTGATTTTCATAAAGACACAACACCATCACCAGCGTTGGCTTTGACCAAGGGGCTGTACTGATTCTGATATCAGCGAGGGGAGCATGAAAATGTCCTTTTGTTGCCCGAGGATGGAAGTGATGAAGCTGCAGGCCCTTGAGGCCCAGGATGTAGTCCCTGACTCAGACAAGCAGAACCCTGGCCCTACCACGTAACTCAGACCTTGACTGATAAAACGGGAGCATAACACAGTGGGAAATGGTGCACAGACTGAAAACCTGGAGCGGAAGACTGTATTTCCTAACTTCTCATGCAGCAAGATGGGTCCCATGATTAAATTCTGGCCAATAAGGTGGGAGCAGAAATTTTTCTTTTCTTTGCTCTTCCCTCCGGCCTGTCTGGGATGTGGACAAAGCAGCTGGTGCTCAAGCAGCCATACTGGTCCCTGAGGTTGGAAATTAGTCACTACAGTGAAGAAGAGAGCAGAAAAAGATGGGCCTGGTGATTGTGAAGATGTCATACCACCACTGGTCTCCTGTCTTTCTGTGAGAAAGGAATGTGTGCTGTTTTTGTTGTTGTTGTTGCTGTTTGTTTTTTGGTTTTTTGAGACAGGGTCTCACTATGTAGTTGAGACTGACCTGGAGCTCACTATGTAGCCCAGGCTGGTCTCGAACTCACAGCGATCCTCCTGCCTCAGCCTCCTGAGTGCTGGGATTACAGGTGTGCGCCACCACACCCAGCAATGTGCTGTTTTAAATGTAAACCCTTTAACATATAAAATGTTGTTGTGTTCTCTTGAGAAGTGTGTTGCTTGCAGCCCAATTCACACTCACCAGTGCCAGTGTGCCTTCCTATCAGCCTCACTGCTGAGGAGACTGAGCGAGGCACATGTGTCCCAGGAACTTTTATTTAAAGATTTGAGACAAAAACCAATTTTCCCTTTTCTATTTTTCTGAAAGCAAATGTAACCAATTTCCCCCTTTCTCATATTCAAACAAATGCATGCAGTCTGATGAGAGAGGGAGATTGTCCCATGAATATTTATTGAGACGAGATTCTACTGTGTTTTAAAGGCTAGTGTTGAACTTGTGGGTTCATGCAACCCTCCTGCCTCAGCCTCCTGAGTAGCTAGGACCCCAGGCCTGCGCTAACATACCTGGCTACTGGGCCAGGAAAATTTTAAAAGTTTCTTTTTGTTTGCGTGTGACCCTGAATCCTAGCTCCTCTATGGCTACCCATCCCCTCTGCTGTCCCCAGGAGGATCATGGACAGGGTGCTCCCCAGGGATGCTGTGCAGAAGAGAGGCCCGCATTTGAGTCCTGAGCCTCTACTTCTTAGGTGTATGGTCTTGGGCCCGGCATGCGTTTCTCTGACCTGCAGCTTCCTACTCTGTGGGAATGGAGGTGATCGCGTCTGCCTTGTTGGCGGCCGCCACTTCGACCCGTGCTCTGCGCTCCCCTCCCAGGGGCCGACCTGGGCCTTCCAGACCTCGGCGGGGCCCGGGTGGGCCTCACCCAGAGGCTCTCATGAAAGCGGGTGCTTTAATAGATTCCAGCATGTTTTTGCTCGACAGGGCTATATGAAAATAGAATTCTGTATTAAAATAGCAAGGCACAATCATCATGCTACTCAGGGGATGCTGTGTTGACTCCAAACAACATCAAAGTCAGTGGCTTCCGGCAGGACTCAGCTGGGAGGCCAGCTCTGTGGAGACCAGCAGGCAGGACCCTACCAGCTCCCTGGGTGTGTGCAACCCTTGCTGTGCACACCTGGCTTTGGTCCCCGCCCCTCACCCTCTCGGGTCCGGGAGAAACAGCACGGCCTTCAGGCAACCCTGACCGTGCAGGGTTTGTTCTGTACCTGAGAAGAGAGGGCGCTCTGGCCCCAAGCCTGGGCCAGCCGGAGGGAGCCCCCTCCCCAGCCAATGTATTTTGACAGTCACTTTCTATTCTGAGCAATACGTGTGGCCCATTACTGGCAGCAACAGAAAAACAAATTTAAATTTAAAAAGTGAGTCTGCTTTTTTTGTTTTGTTTTTTGAAACAGGGCCTTGCTATGTAGTTCAGGCTGGCTGTGAACTTGTGACAATCCTCCTGCCTCAGCCTCCTGAGTACTGTGTTACCAAAAAAAAAAAAAAGTGAGTCTGTTTAAAGAAGAATATTTGATAAACAAGAATTCACAAATGTAGCAAAAATAATAACAACAATGCTCAGGAAACCCTTTTCAGGTCACTGTAAGAGGATTCTAACAAATGTCCTGCAATTCTGAGATTCTCATACATGGCAGGAAGAATCACCATGACGTCCAGCTCCTTCCCAACAACCTGCAGCCAGCAGCCAGCCCACCATCTCCCCCTCTTTTCTTGGAAGCTCATTTTTAAGGGGGAAAAAAAAAAAGGAAAGTGACAAGAGAAAAGAAAGATGAAAACAAGAACAGGTTTCAATCACGGCCTTCAATCTCAGATCCCAGCAGGAGCAGGCTGGCCGGGAGAATGCTTTCTCCCAAGCACTTCGCTCCTCACTGGCCGTGGCTCCGAGGAGGTGCCCTTTGGACGTGAACTGGCCCTTCTTGGAACGCAGGTGGGAATCGAGCCGCTGTGCCAACCCAGCCCGATTTGGAAGGGGGAAGCCAGAAGGGTTTCCCCCGCGCACCAGGGTCGCAGACCTTCCGCAGCTATTTCTGCGGGCTTTCTTCCTTCCCTGCCAGCCAGGAGGAGGCAGCTGAGGTTGCTATGGAAACTGGCTCATCCTCCCACAGGAGGCTGCCAGCTCTGATTTCCTGCAGAGTTAAGAAGCAGGCGGCAGTGGGGTCACCCAGGCGTGAAGACGGGTTTCCCTGGGGATATCCAGCCTCCTGTCAATCATGCTGTCTGTCTGGGAATCCTGGGGGCGCCCAGAGCTTAGGGCCAGGGAAGCCCCCATGCCCCGGGGCTGCCACTCACCCCTGGGGCACTGGGAGGACTCAGGGCCTCTCTTTGCCTCCAGCTAAAGCTGAGAGACCTCGTCTGTGCCTGCTGCTCACAACTGCACCCACACTTCCGCAGCAAGTGCAGGGAACCGAGTTTGAGCCCTGGTACCACCCCCAAAAAAGTTTCTCCTTAAACTGTGTTTTTCTCCCAAAGCTGAGGTAAGGGCACGTTTTCATCACAGACCTGTTTGTTCCAGGGCTGGAGCACACAGGCTCCATGAATGATGGCCCGGGTTCCTCATTAGCTGGTTCACTTCTTTTTTTGTTGTTTTTGTTTTGTTTTGTTTTGTTTTTGGTTTTTGGTTTTTTGAGACAGGGTCTCACTGTGTAGTTGAGACTGACCTGGAACTCACTATGTAGCCCAGGCTGGTCTCGAACTCACAGCGATCCTCCTGCCTCAGCCTCCCAATGCTGGGATTACAGGTGTGCGCCACCATACCCAGCTTCCCAGTATCACTTCTAAGAGTGCGTGCAGGGTCTCAAACTCCAGTGCCTCCAGGCCAGGTGCAATGAATGCAGAAGCAGACAGAGCCTAAAGCCGGGGGAGCCCAGTCTGTGCCCTGCACACAGGGATGCTGCCTCTCAGCTCGGCCACTGATGCCCTCGGCAATGTGGCCCAGTGTGGCTGGGGCCTCCGAGTCTCCAGCAGAAGTGGAAACAATTCAGGTTTGGTTTCGAGACAGGATCTTGCTAAGTTGCCCAGTCTGGCCTTGAACTCAAGATTCCTCCTGCCTAGGCCCCCAAGTAGCTGGGATCACAGGCATGTGCCACCACACACAGCTCTAGGTTGACTTTTTTTTTTTTTTGTACCAGGGATCCAACTCAGGCCCTTGCACTGGTGAGGTAGGCACTGGAACCACTGAACTAAATCTCCAGCCTTTCTAGGTTAACTTTTTAAAGTCCAGAACAAGCAAAAACAGTGTGCAGCCTGGATTGAGCAGCATGGGGAGCATCTACACCCTAACAGCTCGTTTCTCCTACTTGCCTTGCCCCAACCGCGGGGCCCTGGCTGAGTCACCCTCCTAGAGGCCCTACGTGAGTCCAGGCATGGGGAAAGCCCAGCTTGTCTGGTGCCTGAGTCTCTAGAGCAGAGCCCTTTGTTCCTCTGGCCCAGTGTGGGGTGGGCCGTGCCTGCACCGGGTGCACCAGCCCTGGGGCCCTCGAGTATCCGCCTGAACGCAGAGGAGGGTAGTGTCAGTGCAAGGGGCGCCCAGAGAAGGAAACAGCCTAAGGGGCCCTGAGGCCTTAGCTACATGAATAACTGGGGGACCAAACTTGTGCCAGCAGACACACAGCCGGCACCAGAAGGGCCTTTCCACAGCCTGCATCTCTGGTGAAGGCCCAGGCCATAGCAGTGTGAAGGGCTGGGACAGTGAACACTCTGGGAGTAGGCAGCATAGCAGCAAGGACTCCTGGCTCTGCCCTGTCTGGATTAGCTTTTGTGGATGTCACTGTCACAAGGTGAGAAGTGCTAGGTGCCTGGGCAGCAGAAAGAGCCTGATTTGGAAGTAAAACTTTGCAGCGATAGCCATAGAACTTTTATTTATTTATTTTTGAGACAAGATTTTGCTTTGTAGCCCAGACTGGCCTCAAACTCACAGAGATCCTCCTGCCTCAGCCCCCTGAGTGCTGGGATTACAGGTGTGCGCCACGACACCCAGCTGAACTTTCCAAGTCTCTTCTTGACTTTGGTGTTGTCTTTGGTGGCTTCCACTCTGTCCCCACCCCTAGGTATAGGCATCTAGGATGACACTGGCACAGAAAGTCAGGAAGCTGGAGCAGGCTGTCTGGGAGCTCCTGCGGGTCACAGCTGGGCGCGACACTGGATGAGCGCGTCATTCTTCGGCTGCATCAGCCCGAAGCCATACCTGCTGGGGTCAAACTTGGGGACCTCCTGGTCTGCGCTGACCAGCTTCAGGTCAAAGTGCGTCAGCACGAGGAACACAAATCTGCAGGGAGAGGGGATCGGAGGCCATGAGCAAGTGTGGTCTGCTGGCCCCTGCAAGGTCAGGCAGGCCGGGATCAGTCCTGGCACAGGCCTGGGAGCCCCAGCAGGAGAGGTGTGGTGCCACCCACGCCCAGGGGGTGTGCAGGAACCTCCAGCTTTCCCCTGCCTGCCAGCTGTGTGGCGAGGGCAGCACAGCCAAGGGAAAGAGCCCGGCCCACGTCTGCCCAGAGGGGAGGAGCCCCAGCCCTCCAGGCCTGTGTGCCTCTCAGCCCCCACAATGATCAGCAGTGAGGCAGGCTGTTCCCTTCCTCCTGTCCCTTCATCCCCCTTTCTCCCAGGCCTGGAACCTTTGCTGTCTGTCCCGGCTGGGACTGCTACGGTACCCATCAGTGTCTCAGTGAGATTAAAGCCAACACCACTCTCACAAGACATCTTGCAACCACCCGTGAGAAAACTGTCACCCCATGACAAGAGCTTGCTACCGCCACCTTCTGGAAATCTTAAAGGTACACTGGGAGGTTGCCAAGTCCATGCCGTAACCGGTGCCCCTGATGACGTGGTGACTTGCCTCTGACCACCTGCTTCATTATTTGTCACCAACCATGTCCCTAAGGGAGCGTATCTTTTACTTCTCTGAGTGCCAGCACTGTCCTGCCTCCTGGACCGGCGGACCTGTGCTCGTGTGCAGTTTCATCTGGGAGAAGCCAGGGTGACTGTAAAAACCACACCCAGTCTTGGCTGTGCAGCGGTCCGTAAAACGTGCACATGCTCGGAATTACACATCCATCAGCGGCCATGTCAGCCCGCACGCACGTTTCTTAAGCACTTAACACGGGTCAAACTGTACTACTTTTTTATTGGCTTCTCATCATTTTTTGTCTTAATGCATCACCGATGAAGCTTTTGAACACTGGCCCCTCTTTCCCGTAACCTCTGTGTGATTTCCTCCAACGAGGCGATTTTTAGGAGTGCGTATGAAGTGTTGGAGCAGCAATGACTGCACGGTATTGCGATCTCCGTCCTGCTATTAACTGAAGCCAAATGTTGCCGGATGTCTCTCTTCCCCCAGCTTACTGCCTGCACCCTGATACCTGTAATAGCTGTGATAATTAACGTTTAGCAAAACCTCTGACAAGCTAGGCCGTGGGTCAAGATCTTGGAAAGATCCAATCCGTGTATCCTGACGCCCCTGGCTCTATCAGCACCCCTCACTTTATAGAGGAGGAAACGGGCGTGGAAGGTTACTGGGCCTACGGTGACAGGTACGCTGGTCAGAAAGCCGGGGTGCCATGACCCCTGGCGCAGTGGGTCGCCAAGGCGCTCAGTGCCTGAGGAGGAGGACCTGGGAGCCCTGCCCTGCCCGAGGCATCCACACGGCCGGGTGGGGACACAGACGCCCAGCCAGTTTCACCACGGGGCTCTGAACACGCGGCGGCCCTCAGTCACCTGAGACCCAGTGTCCGCATTTGGTGTGTGGACGCCCGTTGGAGGACGAGCCCAATACCAGATGCGATTATTTCACAAGAAATCAGAAATCTGGCTTTTTATATGAGCTCTTCTGGTTTTAAAAAGTTAGCACACATTTTTAAAAACACAAATCAATAGACTCGTGGGCAGGAGGCAGCCCTGCCAGTTGAAACTCCGCCCTAAACCGCTCGCCTAGCAGAGCCCCAGAAGCAGCAGTGTGTGAGCCAACCAAACGGGGTGGCACCACCTTGCCCAGCCCAGCCCTGCCCTGCCCCGCCTCACTCACTGTTTAAGGCTGTAGATGGCAAAACTCTTCCCCAGGCACTGGTTGTGCCCTGCCCCCCACGGCAGGTTGTAATTCTTCAACTGTTTTCCACCCTTGTAAAAGTCTTTCTTCTCTGTTCCCTCTGGGCTCAGGAAACGGTTGTATTTAAATACCTGAAACAGGAAGCGAGTCCATTTTTTTATCCCACCCCAAGCCAAACCTGCACCAAAAAAAAAAAAAAATGTTTTGAGGAATTCATTACAGACTTGTTTACAGAAGAAGGAAGAAGGGTCACAATGTAACAGTCAACTGACAGGGGACTGAGGGAAAACTCCAACAAGAGATGTGTGTACCACGTGGAAGACGTTTCTACTGCTGGGTGTTGAGTAAAAAAACACCCATGAGTTTCAGAAAAATAGGATCCTATACAAACACTCGTGTGTGTGTGTGTGTGTGTGTGTGTGTGTGTGTGTGTGTGTTGGGAAAAGCATAAAAATAATTTAAACGACACACTCCAAAAACAGAGGGAAAAAGACACACCCCAAACCATGGCTAGGGAACTTGGTGGAAGTGGAGAGGAGAGAGTGACCTTTTTTCACTTTTAAATATCTATTTCTCTATAGTTCTATTTTTATGATAAGTACGTATTACTTTTGTAATGGACAAGAAAAATGAATTTCACAAAAGAAACAGGTCAATTTCCTTTGCTACACCCGACAGCGATAAGGCAAGGCTTGTATCCGAGCACAAGGGGTGGTGTGATCGGATGAAAGGTGGTAGGAGGACAAGTGAACGGCCAGGCAGACAGGTGGGCAGATGGCAGGATGGACCCGCGATGGGTACGCGGTGGGTGGATGGACGAAGGGTGGACGGAGGGGTGGGTCAAAGAGTGGTAGAGTTTCATCTGAATATCCTCCAGAGGCAGGTGCTACCACGAGGACCATGTCTCAGTTGAGGAAGCACAGAGAGGCGAAGCCATCTGGGCAAGGTCACACAGCAAGCAGAGAGCACAGCCAGGCTGCCCCCAGAAGCGGCTGATCCCAAAGGCACTGAAAGATTTGCCTGTCATCCCAGTGTGACCAGCTAACTGTCAGTACCTCTGGGTCTGTGTAGATTTCCGGATCCCTCTGGGGACTGAGGAAGGGGAAGAGGAGGAGCCGATCACCGCATCGCAGGGAGAACTCCCGTCCATCCGCCAGAGGCAAGGCCATGTCCACCACCACCTCTCGGGTGATGAAAGGTGCAGCTGTGAGCCTGAGGCTCTCGCTCAGCACGCTGTCTGCATGGGCGACACGAGGGGATGAGCAGGCTGCCCTCCTATGTGCCCAGTGCCACCCCCGCCCACTGTACAGAGGGAGGTGCAGCAGGCCTTGCCCGGTCACACAGCAAGGTGGAAAAGGCCAGATGGGGATCAGCTGTGACCTCTCAGAGGTCCCTGAGTGTGAGAGGATCCAGTTCTGACTCCAAGGGAATTCGTGAGGGGAGGTTAGAGCCAGAGAGATATCAGAAGGCTGGGAAAGAGGGGGGCCATCTGTGTCTGCTTCTGCCTGCCCAGAGAAACTCCCCTTCTGCAAACAGCCCCCCGATCCTCCTCTGGGGACCACCCCTCTTCTATGTTCAGGGGTGGGGCTGTTGCTTCTACTCCTCATTGCTGGTAGTGGGCTCTGACTGCCCGTCAGAACCTCGCTCTGAGCACTGGATGGGCACGTGATCCAGGGGACACACTCGGGACTTTAGGCAGCAACGCGCTAAGGAAGGCAGCCAAGGATGGCTCTCATAGCCAAGGATGGCCATCCTTGAGCTGATACCAGCCTGAGACAGAGCCAGCCAGGAAGGAGGGGGCTGGGAGAGGGACAGACCCATCCTGATAGCACCTGGATCCCCCAGGCCTCAAGCCGGGCACCTCTGGATTCCCTAGCTGCATGCCCCACACGAAGGCCCTTTCCCACCTCAGCCAGCGTGGCTTAGGGTTTCTCTCACGTAGCCCATGAGCTTGGACAGCTGAGACTGCGGCACAGAAGCGCCAGGCCTCAGAAGGGAGACTCAGGGAGACCTTAGGTCAGAGGACAATGACAGGCCCTGGAGCCCGCGCTAGAAAAGGCTTTGGGGGCGCACGACGAATGATCGCGCAGGCGCTCTTGGAGGCCTGTGATCTCACCGAGCACAGGGGTGCTGTCTAAGGCCTTCGGCGGGAGGGCGCTCATCTGCGAGGAAGACTGCCCTGCTTGGCACAGGATGTGTTGGAGCTCCCTACGAACGGCAGCCAGAGCCTCCGGATTCTTGAGAAGGAAGAGCAGGAGCCAGAAGGCGGCAGGGCCCATGTTTCCCTGCAGTGAGAAGGAGCCCGTTACACCAGGGCGGAACAGTTTGGCCGCAGCCTTGGCCAAGGCACAGGGCTCAGCAGGCCTGGTTCCCACCCATGCCAAGAATCTAGGTGCAAAGAGTGTCTGCATTCAGCCTCGGGCTGTGGCTGAAACCTGCTTGAGACACTGGCCAAGCCTCATACCTATTTTCAAGACCGCTCCAGGGTGATCTTCACAGCCAATGGGCAAAGCAAGCATCGGGGAGAGGAACAAGGGATATCGCTGAAGACCACTGTTCATGTCTGAAGGTGAAGGCACCATTGGTCCCTATTTTTTGCTACCCCTTATAGCCACACCCCTTTACGACGTGGCCCTGCAGAGTATATTTCCCCCACCCCTGAATTTCAGTTCAGACACGGACTTACTTTGCCAGAAGAATGAGCTGGAATAGATAAAATAGCATTCTCAGCCAAGGTCTGAAGAGACCTCATGTGCTTCTACTTGCCCTGGACTAGGAAGAGGATGAGACATGTGGGGCAGAGCCGAGTGGCCCAGCAGAACCCCACTAAGATCAGCCAGATCACAGGCCTGTGAGTTAAATGAAGGTGAACAAATGGAGGCCAGGGAGCTTTAGTTAGTGCATGTTTGTTACACGGCAAAGCTAACTGATACAATGTTGAAATGCAGTTAGGGACACAGGTTTCCTTGTATGTTACAATTCTCAGTCACTTGAAGAATAGGTAAGTGTGAGTGTGTGCACATACAAAGCAAAATAGTAATAATTACTGATGAACGCGAGTGCTGCTTTTTAACAATACTTACTTAAAACTTCCCCATAGGTAAATAATAAGGAAAATCAAGGAAACGTCTTTCCTCACGGCTCTAGTCTTCGCTGCTCGTTTTCACAGGCATTTTGACCTCAGCGATTTGGCACACTCAGACGTGGGTGACCACAACTAATCTCAACTGCGGGAAGGTTTTTGTCTATCATAAATGACCACCCTATCCAATTATAATAATAGGGCACTAAATCATCATTAACTAGCATATTTATCTGGTAATTTCATTACAGGCATAACTGCATGTGGGGAGAAGACTCAGGTCTGAGGGTATTTATTACAGCGCTGGTGGACCAGCAACAGAACACTGGAAGCAGCTCCTTGTGTATCGACAGTGATCAGTGAGATCCCAGCCGTAGGGGGATGAGCAGGAAGGTGGTTCAATGAAGGCAGCTTTGAGAAGCCTGGTGCAGACTGAGCCCCACACACAGGGTGTGCAAAGTGCAAGGTGTAGAGTGGGGATCTGTGTGTAAAGAAGGGGACACCACCTCCGGGACACAAGGGACTGGCCCTGAGGTTGCCTCTGGCACAGATGCAGGGAGGACAGGGAGGGAGACTGACTCTTCTTTAATATATAAACCTTTTTTTTTTTTTTTTTTTTTGACAGGGTCTCACTGTGTGTTCAGATTGCCCTGGAACTGGTCTCGAACTTGCAGCGATCCTCCTGCCTCAGCCTCCTGAGTGCTGGGATTACAGGTGTGCACCACCATGCCCAGGAACTATATACCCTTTAAAACTCTTCAAATTTTTAATGGATGTCCGATTTTTAAATAAAACAGAAGGGCAATGAGTAATTCTTACAGTGATCTGCAGTAGCATGAGAAATGCATATGGTATAATGCTGAATCAAACAGAAATCTGAACTATGACCACCTTGACCACAGAAGAAAAATACAGAAAAGGGCTGGAAAGAAATGCTGGAATCTGGAGCGGTGGCAATGCCTGCAGTTCTAACTACTTGGCCGACTGAGGCAGGAGAATCGCAAGTTTGAGTTCAACCCGGGCAACTTAACAAGATACTATCTCAAAAGAAGAAGGGCTGGATGTAGCTCACTGTTCTCTCCGTTCAATCCTTCCTAACACACGCACGTGCACACACATGCACACACATGTACAACAGCATCAGCGACGGTAAGATGAGTTCTCCACCTTTATCTCACATGAATTCAACACCAAGCAGGTACCATTTACTTCCAGTAAAGCACACGTCATTATCAGGACTTTTACTAAAGAGGAACGCGGCCCTTCCTAGTCACCACGCACTGCCCAGCATAGAGCAGAGGCTTACTGATAGGATCCGGGCAACGTGTGTGTTCTCCTGGTCCTGGGAGGCTCCAAGACACCCTAGGCGGGGCTGGAGGAGCCCTGGATGGAGCCCAGGCAGGGCGGGGTTCAGACCGCAGTGCCCCATCCTGTGACTCCGGACAAGTCACTCTCCTCCAGGCCTCCGAGTCCTCAGGACAGCAGGGACGATACGGAGCCACTCCCGGGTGGCCACAGGCTCTGCCGAGGCCGGGGCAAGAGCAGCGAGCTCCGAGCCGGCCCCACTGTGGGGTCGGGAGCAAGGGTGCCTCGGAGCCCCTCCCACACCTGCTGCCTGGCTGGGGCAGCAAGGTCACTGCTGGTCTCCTGACCAGGGAACGTGGGGATGAATAATTCAGCAGCAGGCTAGCTCGGGGCCGAGGCCCTTTCATGCTGCCCGGATGATCAGACGGGCACACTGCTTATTAATTACCAGCAGAGGTGGAGCCCACTGTGCTCGGTCCTCTCTGCTTAAAGGAAGGAGCTCTGCAAATTAGAGAAGTGAGCGAGACGGCCCTCCGCCTGGCTGCGTAGATGGGTGTGTGGGCGCGCATGCACACGAGTGTGATCGCACCACAGGAGCGCCGAATGCCCTGCCTGGTGCTGGGGCCTCGCCTCAGCTCACCCGGAAGACACTTCCTTCCCACCACCGGATTCCCTCCTGCTCCAGCCCTGGGAAAGACCGGCCTCCTCCGCTGGGAGGGCCAACCCGTCTGAAATCGCTGGGGCCGCCAAGGCCACCACATGGTGAAGCCATCTGAGGGATCAACACAGAAGAATGGACAACCAAGGTTCAGGCGGGTGCAGATCCTGTTTCCTTTAAGTTTGTGATTTTAAAATATTTTAAGGGGAGAGAAAAATGCCCCAAGTGTAATGATGACACGTTAAGTAGGTTTATAACTTGTAACTAATGTATCACCCTGGGGGATGCTGTCATAGCACCGGGACTATAGGCGAAATCCCTGTACTTCCATTAAAATTTGATGTGAACTTAAAATTGCTCTACAAATAAAGTCAGTTTAGAACAAAGAACACCCCAAATGCACGCTGGTATCTTAGATTAGATCCTGGAAGAGAAAAACTTGGGAAATCTGAATAAAGTGAGGACTTTAGTTAATAGTAATGTTCATTATTGTGACTACATAATTTCGGCAACCTGGGATTTCCCCGTACTATATCTGTCACCCTTCTACAGTCTAAAATTATTTCAAAATAAAATGTCAAGGTGCAAAGAAAAAAATGGCCACACGCCCTCCTGGCACCACCCAGGCTGCTCCCCAGACTCTGGGACTCCCAGCCCCCGCCAATGTCTGGCTTTGCTGACACGGGGGCTCTGGGGACAGCCAGAGCACCAGGTCGCCTCGCCCATAAACCCACCGTTGGGTCCTGGGGGTGGGGGGACTGCTGGCGAAACCCCGCCAGCCCCTCGCCAGCCTCTAATGGCTCTGAGGGGAAATTTTTTAAAAGTCCAGAGTTGATGGGAGAGGAATTGCCCCGTGCAACCGTTAGAGCCAGTGGGGCCACAGGACAGGGGGGCCATGGCGGTCAGGACTGAAGGCAGTAACCAGGCAGACCGTCCCTCTCACTCCAACACCTGAGCCATGACTGAGTTCACTGGTTCTGTCACTCCCAAGTTTCCGAACTCTACAAGCCTCCTCATTCCCTCCAAGGCCACTGGCAGCTCCTTGGTTTTGCCCCAACACCTGCTGAGGTCCAGGGCCTTGGCACTTGCTGCTGCCCAGAATACCCAGGTCCCTGAGTCTAGTGTTCTTTTGATCCAAGGACCACTTCTAACATCCCAGCCCCAGAGCGGACTCCGGCTGGGGTAGACTCCCAGGAGATCTCCATTTGTAGCCCTGTTCATGCCCGTCGGCGTCTACCACCATCTGGAATCTGTCTGCTTGGCCGTCTGCTCCCTGCCTCACTCCGACTACAGGGAAAGCGACACAAAGCCGCATCCCTGCGCGCGGTAAGTCCTCAGTGGAACTTTTCCGTGATTCTGCAAAACAACGGGTCTGCACATTTCAAAAATGTCAAGGTTATGAACGACCATGAAAAGCATAGAAACTGCCCCGATTCAGGAGCACTGAAGAGGGAGCGGCCAGAAGCACGTGCGATCCGGGACTGCCGGCCGGGCCGAGCTGAGCCACGAAGGACATCACCGGGACAGCGGGCAAAACCGGAGCACGGGAGGCACCAGAGCTGAGGAGCCTGGATTTAGGCTCCAGGACTTGCAGTGTGCGGAGCCCACGGGAGAGGCCTCTTCCTCCCAGGACGCACCCTGGAGTGAGTGACACCACGTCTGCAACTTACACGGGAAGCATCCGGTCAAATAATCACAGCGGGAGACAGTACGTGAAGGGTCCTGCCCACGGTGCTGCTTGACAATAAAGGTGGGAACCAGGCAGACACGTGCCTCTCCGTGCCCGCACGCACACGCACACGCACGCTCACAGTGCAGTCTCCCGCCGGCCTACACGCTGTACACACACTCACACGCGTGCGCGCACACACACCCCACGTCCACGGCTGCCTGCGCCCACCTGTGTGGCCCAGAGCTGCAGCACCAGCGCC